AGCAAGGACGCGCCTAGGGGCTCCTGGCCATACTACTAGGAGCATCCATACTACTAGGAGCAAGGACGCGCCTAGGGGCTCCTGGCCATACTACTAGGAGCATCCTTACTACTAGGAGCAAGGACCCGCCTAGGGGCTCCTGGCCATACTACTAGGAGCATCCATACTACTAGGAGCAAGGACGCGCCTAGGGGCTCCTGGCCATACTACTAGGAGCATCCTTACTACTAGGAGCAAGGACCCGCCTAGGGGCTCCTGGCCATACTACCAGGAGCATCCTTACTACTAGGAGCAAGGACGCGCCTCTCCTGGCCATACTACTAGGAGCAAGGACCCGCCTAGGGGCTCCTGGCCATACTACTAGGAGCATCCTTACTACTAGGAGCAAGGACCCGCCTAGGGGCTCCTGGCCACACTACCAGGAGCATCCTTACTACTAGGAGCAAGGACGCGTGTAGGGGCTCCTGGCCATACTACTCCCAGAACTTGCGCGACGTGTCTGGCGCTTCCCGCACCCCTTCACCATATTGGTGGGTGGTGGGGAGTGTGGTGAAATGTCGAAATGGATGACAGGCTACCAATTAAACAAACTGTACAAAAAGTTCCGACCAACTAACTAGGTGAAACCGAATATCCGCGCTGCATCTAGAGTGGTTTGGGAACGAGAATTACGAATTACGATGACAATGCTGGAAAGGCCGGGAAACTGCCTAATCAGGCGCCGGAGGAATCGGCACGGATGTTAGATCGCCATTACGATGCCAACACTGTCGGAGGTATCTGCGATAGAGGAAGCGTTGCTCAAATGTCAATGAGATGGCCTCGACTGCCGGAAAAATCGGTTGCACATGAGACATGGGGACTAACCCATCAGGATGGTATGGAGGTTTGCAATGAAGATCTGCCGCATACCGAATAAGAGACCGTTGGACGGCTGCGGAATTAGGAATTTCCGGCCGAAGTGGGAAACCCCCTGTGTAAGCACGACCCCATCCGATATAAGTGAGGCTGAGCGAACCAGTCTTTGAGTAGGTCGGAAGGAGGGGGCCATCCGCATATTTTTGGAGGTACAAGACAATGGTTCGAAAGGCCTCTGCTTGTTCCCTGAGAGATCGACGGTGGATGGGCAAGGCTAGGACTCTCGGGTCTTGCCAGTGCAGTGGCTGTGCCTTTTTATTGTCCTGGATTTGAAGCCATGTAGGGAATTGGAGTCCTGTATTAATAATAAAAGCAATGGCAAGTTCGTGCCATGTGATACCCGCTTTCACAGTAGGGTCAGTATGAGACAGGTCGGCAGATGGCCAGCGAAGCGAGGCGCAAAATTGCAAAACGAGATCGGCATACTGGTTACCCCAGACACATGCGGTCACAAACGTTGGACGCACAAAGGGACGAAACGTCTGTCCAGGCATCGCGACAGTATAAGATTCCCGGGTGCGAAAAATCAGTCCCCAGGCACTGTCCACAGTGTCCCCTGTGCCTGCAAGGTTCTTTGGTTTGTTTGTTTGTTCATGAAGTTGCGAATGGTATTGATTCAGGTCGGCAAGATACTGCATGATACAGACCGTCTGATTGTATTGATCGCTGTGCCATATCTGTGCTCGGCGAAAGAACTGGTGAATAGTCGGATGATCCGTTTGACGAGCACGAACGGCTGCATGATCTGCCCACGAATTACCAATCGCATCGAGCTTAGCCCTCCCCGGAGGTAGCATGTTTATGTCTTGATGCGACTTCACTTTGCACAAGTGGAATTGGGTGGGGTCCCAATGGGTGGTGATACGCTGAAGGAGGTCAGCGTGGGCTAATCTGTGCCAGGTAGGGACCGTGGTTGCATGAACTAGTTGTGACACAATGTTAATAACATACTGGGAGTCGGTGGTTATGATTGCCCGTTGCTGTGGGTGGTGCGATGCAACATGTTCAACGATCCAGGCCACGGCTGCGAGCTCTGCACGGGCGATTGATTGACTTCCCTGCACATGCTGAATTTTAACCGTCAGAAACGGTTGTGGGGTGGCGTCAGGATGATATTGAACAACTGACCACGCTGCTCGTCGAGTTTCGGGATGTAGGGGTGTATCAGCAGACCCATCTGTATAGAAGAGTAATACCTCCTGGTCATTCTGAATTACTGTGTGGTCAGTGGTCGCTCCCCGATATGCTAGTAACTGTCGCAACGTAGCAATTTCAGGGAAGGAATGCGGCAAGGGAAGCCATAATTTGGCGGGGCAGGCAGACAGATACGCAATGGCTTGTGGGTGTTTTTGACGGATATGCAGGAATGCCGGGCATGATAGCTGTTGATGTGAATGCATATCGGGCTGTCCGCAAAACGGACAGGAGGCGTCGACTGTGGCCGTCCACATAGCCTTCACTGCCCCGACTTGGTAGCCTCCAGTGAGATTATAGGCTATTTGGCGCACGGCCGTAATTGACAACTTACGAAGGCTGCGGGTAAGAATATCATAGTCAAACGGCATATCAGGAATTCCTTTGCGGTGGCTAATCTGTCGGTGAAGGTAGTAAGCCCAGGCCCGTCTGAGAGTCTGACGAATGGTGCGGAGGGAGTCATGTCTGATCGAAATCGAAAGGTAGCCGTCTAATGTCAATTTACCATCCTGCGCGAAGGACCACCCTAACAGATCAAGATAACGTGCCAATGCCTGCAGGCCCCACTGTCGGGCCGGTGTGGGTAATCACTGCTTGTAAAAATTCCTGGGCTAACGTGGAGTTGTTGTGGAAAAGCCGCCGGAGGAATGTTACTGCTGTTGAAACAACATAAAGTAACGGGTCTTGCAATTGTGGGGAGAAAATATGGACAGCGAGGAAACTGGAAATTTGCGGATGTGGTCCTAGTAAGGCACTAGCAGCCTCCCGGCGGAGTGTGCGAAAATGCGACTCCCCCACAATCTGTGTTTCTGCCCCGAAGAATGCATGAGGCCATACCGCAGTCTGGATGAAGCGTGCTTTGTGGGCAATGGCAAGAGGAAATCGTCTGATTTTCCGGCATCTTTGAGCGGCGTTTTGCATCTTTTGTTTTAAGTGACCGAGAACGATATGATTAGAATAGTGTGTCATGCAACCCAAGTCTTTGGTCGAGTTCAGAATTTGGACAGGGTTAGCGTCCGGGAAGGACAGGTCTAAAAAGTCTTTCCATTCCTTACGGGCGTCGGCGGTAGAGCCCCAGGCCCAGGATTTAGTGTAATCAATTTGCATGCGAAAAGCGTCCACGAGTTGTTGGACCCTACGGAAGGCCTGGATGTTGTCTCGTTGATTGGTAGTCAGGTAGGACCAATTATCAGCATAGGCATAGGGGAAGACGGTAGGTGTTTGGAGCGTCCAGTAGAAAGCCGAGGAGACTACAAGCATCGCACAAACAGACAGACTGTCTCCTTCCGGAACCCCGGTAGTCATGGTCATGGGTGGGCCGACATTATCGCGAACTTGCAGTCGCCGTGTGAGGCGTCGTAGGTTGTTAAACCAAAATTGGATGGCTGCAGGGGGTGCTCCATGATGTATCAAAAGGTGATACAGAACACGGCGAGGGAGGAGATTAAATGCTTTAATGAGGTCTAAAGTGAAGCCACGCCATGGTTGGGACCGCTGTTTCCC